AAGCACAATTAATAACAGTGCATCTAAATTCCAAAATCAATCTCCATAATAGTCTATGTGTTTCCTACTGCCAAAGGGGCCCTTTAGAGTAGTGAGGGAAGATCTTCACCCTGAAACCCACAGCGTCCCTTTTCAGCATGAAGTATCTAAGAGAATATGCTGTCCCCCTTTCCTTAAGAATCATGGTGAAGTCTCTCTCAGGGAGGAGTGATAGGGAATGACAAAGGACACACTGACAAAGTAGATTAATCAGAACTGGCTCTGACAAGCACTGTGGCAATTAGACAATTAAAACAGACATTCAAGGTGGGGGGGAAGAATGAACTGGGGAGGAGGGCAGAGAAAACAGTGCAACAATGAATGAATGAAAAACCCAAAATTTCTGTAAATGTTCATTAAAACTAATAAAATTTAATAATAATTAAAAAAAACCCCAAACCAGCAGACAATAAATATTGGTGAGAATGAAAAGAGATTGCAGCTGTCATAGGTGGAACTGTAAATGGAATTGTAAATGGTACAGTCGCTGTGGAAGGCAGTTTGGTGCTTCCTCTAAAAGGTGAATATGTTGTTGTTGTTGTTGGGTGCTGTTAAGTATGACTCAATGCAACCCTATGAAAAACTCATCTAACCACTGTCCTGTCCCATGTAATCTTCACAGTGTCTAACATACTCAATCCAATTGTCAGAGTCAATCCATTTGGTCAAGGGCCTTCCTTTCTTTTGCTGCCCCTTCACCTTCCTAAACATGGTGTCCTTCTCCAAGAAATAAACTCTTCTACCAACATACTCAAAGTATGTGAGACAAAGTTTTATCATCCTTATTCTAAGGAGCACTCTGTTTGCCCCTTCTCCAAGACATATCAGTCTGTTCTTTTTGCCGTCCATGGGATTTTCAGTACTTTTCTTAACACCACAGTTAGAAGGCTTCAATTCTTCTTCTGCCATACTTATTCATTGTCCAGCTCTCAGATGCACAGTTAAGAGAATGAAAAGACTATAGCCTGAATCAGGCACACCTCAGTCCTCAAACTGACATTATTACTCCTCAATAATTTGAAGAGATCCCTGATTAGACTTTCCCAGTGCAAGACGCTTTCTGATCTCCTGATTACAGTTACCAAGATTGTGGATCCAAGTAAGATGAAGGCATTGACATTCTCATTGCTTTTTCCATTCATCATAATGTTACCTATATGATCCAACTGTTCCTCTACTGGGAATATTTACCCAAAGGAAACCAGAGCCGTGATATGTACACCCATCTTTTTGTTTGGTTTTTGGTGTTTTTTTTTAAAAAAATGTACACTTATGCTTATTGCAGCATTATTCATAATAACACGAAGATGGAAATAGCCTAAATGCCCATCAACAAAAAAAAATCTATAGAGAAACTGTGGTACGTTCACACAACAGAATACTATGTAGCATTAAAAAGCAATTAAGGGGAGGAAATTAAAAACCCACAACACTTATGAACTCATGAATCAGTCTCATAAGGACAAATACTGTATAAGATGCTTAGTGTAGAAATAGAAAGATAACTAGTAAAACGTGTATGAGGATCCAAGGGTGAGGGAGCATAGGAGCAGAGAGAGAAGGATGGGCAGGGTGTGGGGTCGCACAATTTGATGGGGCGGAGGGAGGAGAAAGGAAATGTGAACGATCCAGTCTGAAAAACAATGTATATAAACTTTGTAAGCAAACCAGTATAAAAATTTATTTTAAAAAGCACAACTACACAATAAGAGTATGTCTAAATGACATTATGCTGGGTCAAATAATCACAAAATAAGAGTATGTCTAAATGACATTATGCTGGGTCAAATAATCACAAAAGGACAAATACTGTATAAGACCTCTATTATAAAATAGGAAGAGAGTTGGAAGTGGGGGGGGGACAGAGAGAACAGAATAGAATATAAAATGAACACTGTAAAGAATTAGGAGGGAAAAAAAAAGAATTAGGAGAAAGTAAGATCAACCTAGAAAGAATGGAAGAAAGTATGGAACAGAGCAACCTGTAACAGAACATGTACAACTGTTCAAAGGAGAGGGAAGAAACTGGAGGGCATCGGAGATCATGGACAGATGGGTGGGGTGAAGGAATAGGTGGGGCGTAGTGAGGATTTTTGTGATAAAAGGCATTGATCAAAAGTAATTGATGTTACAGGTTTTTAAGAAAAAATTATAAAAAAAATTTAAAAGTAAAGGTCTTTGGTAGCAAAAACGGGGTCTGCAATTTATAGTTTGGGAAGAACACTAGGTTACCTCAATAACTTTCTGTACTACAGGGCTTTTTTAGAGCCTTTAATATGCTAATGTGGATCCTGAGAGGGGAAGTAGTATATGCCAGATTCTCCAAACTACTTGTTCAACTGCATTGGAAGAGAGATGAGGGGAAGGACTATTTGAAAGGAATGCATGATTAGTTTTATGTGTGACAATGTCGCATGTTGTCATATGTCATATATATGACAACAGTCTGGGAACAAGAGGTGCACCGTAAAGTGGACTGGGGAGGGGAAAGGGTGGAGGAGGGAGGAAAATGTGTAACACTGAATGAATGAAAAACCTACCTTTCTGTAAACTCATTAAAATCACAATTTTAAAAGACCTAAGAAGAAACCCTACTTGTTCATGGAACTTTCCATTCCTTTTTCCTTAGTACTTATTCAAAACTACCAAGAAAAGAGTTATTGAAACATTACACAATCCCATAAGGAGCTCTTGTGGCTTAGTAGTAGGAAAATTTGCTCCCAACCCAGTCAAGTGGTTCAAATTCAAAAGCTGTTCAACAGGAGAAAGAAGAGCAATCTCCTGCGTTGCAGATTCACTACCTCTGAAAACCTGTTGGAGGGGGGTCAGCTATGACTTGCTTCTGACTTGATGTGTGTGTGTGTGTGTGTGTGTGTGTATATAATAAACTATGCCCTCCTCCACTGTAGATTTTTTTTCTGAGTCTTCCAAGATATGTCTGATACATTCTTATAATATCTAAAAGCTAAATGAGTATTTCCTATTCAAATACAAAACTCACAATAATGAGGAATTGTCTTAAAATTTCCCTTAGTTCTATCTCCAACCCCCTAAACTTATCCAAAGTGAATCAATAAACTAGCTCATAAGTGAAAATGGCAGTGATTTTATATAGTTTTTTAATCCATACTCAATTAAAATCAGATTATGAGTCCGGTTTGCACATTCTTCTGGTCACACGGACTGTCAGCTGCGTCCTTGGCCCCTCAGTAGCTACCTCTCCCCTGGCCTGCACCCAGCTGAGGCTCCCATGGCAACCGCTCTATGGAGCTGCTGTGCTGGGCACCCCCCTTGCCTCTCACTTGTAAAGAGGTGTTAGAGATCTTCTGGAAGCCTTCCAGGGCTGCCACTTTCTCTCGGGAGAGCTGTTCCATCCTCTGATGTTGCTTCTTAATAGCCTCCTTGATGCCCTCGATGTGGCACTTGTCCTCCTTCTCGGCCTTCAGCTTCAGGATGTGATTCTTCTCCTGCAGGTCCGTTAAGTCCTCAATTTGTCCCACCATATCTTTGACGTTCTTGTGGGCCTTAGTCCTGGCCAGCTCCTTCAGCATCCTCTTGTACATTTTCCTTTGCTCTTGAGGTTTGACCCGCTTCCTGGCCTCCTGGTCCTTCTCCCTCAGCTCTTGGTGACGCTCCCTAACCAGGCACTGGTGGGCCTGGTGGTGCCTCTGCTCCAGGGACAGCCTACGCAGGAGCTCTTCAGCCTTGGCCTGGCAGTCCATGAGGACCTTGCGAGCCTGGTAGTTGACAATGGAGGTCAGGTTGCTCTCGTGGGCCTTTTTCAGGTCCTCCATGGCGTTCAGGTGCGTCGTGCGGCCAGCCTGCTCCAGCCTCCTCTGCAGCTGCCGGCAGTTCCGCGCCTGCACTCCCGGCTGCTCCTTCAGTGGCTGCACCCCGCATTGCTCCTCTTGCTGGGCATGCGCAAGGACCCTTTCCGGTTTCCCACTAGGCTGATGCTCCAGGCCCTCTTGCTGGTTCCTCCCGGCGATGGTCCCCCGGCTCCTTGCCTGTCTCTCCTTGCGGATATGCTGTTCCAGGCACAGGTGCGCTGTGGGCGGCTCCTTCTCCTGCCTCCACTGCTCCTGACTCCGCTGCAGCAGCAGCCTTCGTTCTCTCTCCAGGGTCATCTGGACCTTCTGGTCAGAGCGCTTCAGCTCCTCCCAGGCCACTGCAGCCTGCCGCTGCAGGTCCCGCATCTTCTGGGCCTTCTGGAGACGGGCTAGCACGAGGGCCACTATCTTCTGGTCCCTGGAGGAGAAAACCGCCTCTGCCAGCTTGTTCTTGAGGGTCTGGGAGTGCTGGCTTAGGACCTCCTCGCTGGAGCCTGGCCCAGAACTGCCGTCCAGCTGGGAGTACTGGCTGGCCAGGGACTCCATCAACTCAGCCCTGCCACTGCCCGGGGGGTACACGGTGGCCGACTGTGTGCTCACTTTGGAAAGCACAGAGGACTTCTCCGTGGGAATGGATGAGAGCGACGAACCACCGAGGCGTCTACAGAGGGGTTCTGCCCATTGTTTTACATTTGGTGCTTTTTCAGCTCCTAACGTTTCACTCAGGAAACTGTACGTTCCCTGGGGGATCGATGCGGGCGAGTCTCCATGGGCTGGAGGGTAGTCATTCCAGGGCAGAGGCTGGTGTCCCTGCAAAGGCTGCCAGACGAGACCATGACCACCATCTCCCAGGTGCTGGGGCCCAGCCATTACCTCGCCCCAGGCATTTTCCAGGAGGCTGAGGGGTCGCTGCTTCTGCGCACGAACCCGGGTTCTCTGGGTCACCACGTCGGTCAGGCTGCGGCTTTCCCACCGCGAGCTGGCGTCCTGGTGCCTCCCAAGTGAAGTGGGCGAACAGCGTGGCGGCAGCGTCTGCCAGGGCGCATAAACCTCACTCTCCGCGGTAGGCGCTCGAACCCGCGCACTCAGGACCGGCTCTCGCCGCAGCCTGGGCCCGCCCAGCCGGGTCGAGGACGCGCGCTCCAGGCCCACTGGATCTGCGGGCCCCCAGAGGTCCGCGCCGCAGCGGCCAAGGGCCGACATGCTGCCTCCAGCGCCTGCGCAACGCGCCTGGGATCTCCAGGGGGCGCTGTGGGGACCGCCCAGCGCTGTGATGACGCTCAGGCCACTTCACAATGCAGGGCGCCACCCTGTCTTTCCCGCCCTCGCCCGTTGCCCATTCGGCCTAGCTAGAACCAAGCACCCAGAGGGGACAATGGAAGGTCAGGGGCAAGCGAGGAGGCAGTATGGCAAGGTAGCTGGCAGAGCTGTAGGAAACCAGGGGTGACGACAATGACAGTTTTGTTGTAGCTGGGACTCTTGTAAGTAATTGTCTGTCTTTGATCTCTTGGCTGGTAGATGTTATTAGGTGCTGTCACAACAGATCTGAACTTTGCACTGTCCTGTGTCCTCATCATCTCTGACATATTTGAGCCATTGATACTGAGCACAGTGACATATTTGAGTCACTGTGTTAGCTCATCTTGTGAGGGTCTTCCTTTCTTTTGCTGACCGAAATTTGATGGCCTTTTCCAAGGAATGGGCCTTCCTAACAATGTGCTTAAAATATGTGAGATGAAGTTTCACCATTCTTGCCTCGAAGGAGCACCTTGTTTGCACTTTCTCCAAGACAGATTTGTTCTTTTGGAGGTCCAGTTGGCTAGGTGCTTCTTGTTGTCAGGTGCCATTGAGTTGATTAATTGTCCAGCTCTCAGATGCATAGCAGATAATTGGAAAAACCATGAGTTGAATCAGGTGCACCTTAGTCTTCAAGTTACTTTTTTGCTGTTCAAGACTTTGGATGGGTCCCTGACAGCAAACTTTTCCACAGTTATATGTCTATTGATCTCCTGTCAAGGGTGTTGATTGTAGATCCAAATGAGATGAAATTTTTGACAATTTCCTTTTTTTCTCTCTCGGTCACGATGTTCACTATTAGTCCAGTGGGGAGGATTTTTGTCTTCTTGATAATATCAGGTATGATGATGCAAACATGAGGGAGTTTTTGTCTACCAAGGAAACTGGATAGTTTGTAAGTTCAGTACAGGGCAATTGGTTTTGCTCCCCTGGCAGCCTTAAATTGAGCTGGCACAAAGGAAGAAAGGAGAAATCTCACAACCACCAGGAAAAGGAAAAACAATGCAATGTGTCCTTTGCTCCTTTGATTCTTGCATGAACCAGAGATGAAGAGCTCAAAACGCCAGAAAAACTGTGAGGCAGCATGACATGAGGTGAAATGGTGGCAGTGGTGATAGTAGAAAATCAGACTGATGTCACAGAGCTGTGGGCTCCCCACCTATGGGATGAGGCAACAGAATGCATGCTGGGAGGGTGGGTGCCCCTTGACACATACCAGGGAGCTACAACTGAGTACTTCAGGGCCTAGTAGGTAAGGAACTGTGCTGCCAACTTGAAGACACAGGGTTTGAATCCACTAGCAGCTCTGGAAGTGATAGATGGGCATTCTCCTCCTTCTTTGTGATCTACTACCTCTGCAAACCTACTGGAGGGTTAGTTGTGAGTTGATTCAGACAGGCACATGATTGACAGATCTAAGAAAGTTAGGTAACACCTACAGAGTAGGACAGAGGCCGAGGCCTAAGACCAATGAGGGTCAGGGAGAGGTCGGCCTTCAGCCTTCAAGCACTCCTGAGAAGAGGCTGACAATGGAATCTTTGTGTCCTGAGTGTTCCCATGACTGATTTGTAACCTGTTACTTCCCTAATGAACTGCATATTTGTGAGTATTGTCTGTGAGTTCCGGGTGGTCTTGATAATGAATTATGGAGCTTAGTAGGGAAGTAGTGAGCATAATTAGTGTTAGGGTTGTTAGAAGACCATGTGGAGGGTGGGGGTCATGTCTGACTGACCTCACTAGACCCAGTCTTGTGCTAGAATGGGGATTCCTAACCACTGAGAAGTCAGTGGAGGTGAGACCCTGCCTCCATGAGACTTGCAACTCTTTTTACAACCTTCTTGACTCTCAAATTCTCAGCAGATGAGATGAGGTAGGTGATGAGAATCCCAGCTCTGCTGGTCTATTTTGAGGGTCAGATGGAATTAGGAATGGTGCAATTGGCACCCATTCTGTAACTATGATTTTAATATACTGCTAGGTTTTAGTTAGAGGTTTCACAACTTGAATTAACATATTGATTGACAAAAGGATTACTAGTTAAGAAGAAGGAATGTAATGCTAGAACAGTTTGAGTAAATGGCAGAGCTTAAGGGCTGAGTGAATCTTATCATCACTGCACTTAGATTGATTCTGGCTAAGCTACTTTCTTTCCCAGGATGCAGTGAGGAAACTTTTCTGGAAGCTGTTCCCTAAATATTCTGCTCTGGTGCTTTAGTGGTAAGGAGTTTCACTGTGAACCCAAAGGCATGCAATTCGAATCCACCTGCTGCTTTGCAGAAGAAAAATAGGCAGTCTCCTCCTATACAATTTACTGACTCTGAAAACCTGATAGAGGGTCAGCTATGGGTCTGTTCCAACTCTATGGTACACAACAACGTCACAGGGGGGAAATGAGTACTTGTTTACCTCACCCTCCTTTGCTAATATTAACCCTTAGTGGTAGGAAATGGTGCTGCAATCTCAAAAGGCACATAATTTGAATCTACCAGCTGCTCTGCAGGAAAAAACCTGAGCTTTCTCTTCCTGTACAATTTACTTCCTGAAGAACCACTGGAGAGCCAGCTAGGGGGCAGTTCCAACTTACAGCACAAAACAAAGCAACCCCAGCTAGACAGGGCAAGTGGAATTGATGCAATTCCTTAAAACAAATCAGAGACACAGCCATTATAAATTACTTCCCCCAAACATCACTCTGTTGTGCAATGTTGTGGAGGAAGGGAGGGCCTCTGGCCAGGAGAGATCGCCCAGCTCTGGATAAGTGCAAGCCTCCCAAAGGCCTTTAATACAGGGTAGAGAAAGCTCTCCTGTGTTTGGCCATACTGGCTTGAGAAAGCTCACCACCTGGGAAGATGGCTGCCCCATCTGTTGAGCTGGGAGTAGTCTACACAAGACTGAGGTTTTCCTATCCAATCCACATGTCCCACATCTGTAAGCCCACCATATCCTGTCTTCCTGTTTACTTGCTCGTATATAAGTGCACTGCAGCCCCCAATAAAATTGAGCTGGATCAACTCTGAACAGCTCCCACAGTGGTGTGTCTCCATCAGGCTTACCCCCATCAGGGTGTCGCTGTTCATTGCCGGCAAACAGACAGCAACATCACTCAATAAATGGTGGGAGTTTTTACTCCAAATTCAGTGCTTTATCTGTCATATCATGCTGCCTCTTGTGAAATACATTCTGAATTGAAACATGTATTTAAGAAACTAATAAACCAAGGTCCAACATCACCAGGAAAGACATGCTACACCTGGCCTGGCTGGAATACACTTGTTGTTGTGGTTAGGTGCTATCAGTTGACCATCTCTCACAGCAACCCTAGGAACAAACAGCTCTGAACCCTGCCCTATCCTGTGCCATCACTGATCAGGAGCAATTAATTCTATAAAAATGTATATGAATGATTGTACAAAACCCAGATTTTTAAAAAGAGCAAATTCAGCTTTAACAGTGGATGCCATGGATTGTGTTCCCTAAAATGCAGGTACATAATGATAGAAAAGGGAACTCTGGTGGTCTGGTAAGGAGCTGCATTGCCGAACCAAAGGCATGTGGTTCGAATCTAGCAACTGCTCAGAGGGAGAAGGATGGGTGGTCTCCTGAGCAATTTACTGCCTCTGGAAACCTGCTGTAGGGTCAGTTAAAGGTTGGTTCCAATTTGACATAACACCATCGCCAAGGATAGAATGTAGAAACCATGTGAGGACAATCTTATACACTGTTGGTGCAATTGTAAAATGGTACAACCACTCTGGAAGGCGGTTTGGAGTTTCCTCAGAAAGCTGAACATAGAAATGCTATATGATCCAGCTATTCCACTCCTGGGAATACACCCCAAGGAAATTAAAATTGAGACACAAATGGAGATTTATATACCAATGTTCATAGCAGCATTATTCACACAAGAATAGTGAAACAGCCTGATTGTCCAACCTCAACCAAATGGATTGAGAAATTGTGGTGCATCCACACAGAATACTATGGAACACTCAGGAGAAACAATTTTGAAAATAACTACATAACTTGCAAAAGACTGGGGAGCATTATTATGGTGAGTGAACTAACTCAGTCTTGTAAGGGCAAATACTGAATAAGATCATTATTGTAAAACTAGAAGGATAATTAGTAAAATGTGTATGGTGCTCAAGGGGAAAGGGTTGGGAGTATAAGGGTGAAGATGGGCAAGGGGAAAATCATGAGGTTGCACAATTTGGTGGATAAAGGGACAGGGTAAAGGGAATGGGAAGTATACAGTGGGGGTCTGAAGAGATAGAGTAATTGTTGGACATAGTTCAATGGTAATTATATGAAACAATGAATGGGAATGATTGTATGAAAGACAATGTGAATGGAGGATAGTGTGAAATAATATATGTAAATTTTGTATGCAAACCAATATAAAAAAAATTTTTTTAGAAATTAGACTAGATTTGAAGAGTAATCGTTTAACTTTTCTGTTAGGAATGATTTAGACTTGAACTAAGGAACCCTGGTGACAGGGATTAAGGAGACTGATTGCTAATCAAAAGGTGAGCAGCTTCAATTTACCAGCCACTCTTTGGGAAAGATGTGGCTGGATGCTTCCTAAAGATTTGCAGCTTTGCAAACCTCACAGTGTAATCCTCCTGGTTCCATCAAGTGTCAGCCAGGCTGTGCTGATGCCCTTGTCTCTGATCTGTCTGTCAAAGCTTTGTAAAACATTTTGCTCAGACAAGTGTGACTCTGACAAGTAACCAGGCCACTTTCTGTCACTGAGGAATAGTGTTGTGTGAGATAAGGCTGCTTGAGAGTTTGGAGGCCTGCCCACCAGCCAACTCTGCCACAAGCTGTGCCTAGCAGTCCTTTCACTTCTGAGTCTCAGTTTCCTCATCTGTGAAATGGCAGTGTTACAGGAGGTGAGCTGTAAA